TGTCACATTACTAATGCTGTAAATTAATTCTAAACCGTAACTTGAGCATTTCACAAACTTTGAGAACAAGGTACTTTTTGGCTTTGGTAATAACTGCAAATTACTCCCACTTTATAACTGTGGTTAAATACATAGAACATAAAACTTACCATTTTAAAGTGTACAATTCAGTGACATTTAGTACATTCACAATGTTGTATAATCAACACTATCTTGTTCTAGAATATTTTCATCACTAAAACAAAACCAATACTCATTAAGCAGTCACTTCCCACTATCCCCACTCCTCCCTGCCAGCCCCTAGCAACCATTAATCTGATTCCTGTCTCAACGGATTTACCTATTCTGGATATTTCACACAAATGGAATCACAATTTGTGGGCTTTTGTATCTAGCTTCTTTCACTTAGCATATTTTTCAAGAAATACCATATCCCTTAGCATCTAAGGAAAAACTAACTATTAATGTAAATCATGGAAAAAAGATATATTGGAATCTAAATGACATCTGAGGTAAGTGAATGTGTCAGTGCAATTACCTTTCAGAATGCATTCACAAAGCTATTGGAATGTTGCAGGGAATCAATACCATTCTCTACTTCAAATCTCTAATATAAGTCATAGTTTTTAAAGTTACCAATTGATATAAAAGACACCCACTGGACATAATTATTCACTGGGCAATTCTACTCTGGAACAGATGTTATACGTATGATCATTTCCATTTCAATGGTTTGATTTCTTTTAATCAAATAATGTAGTTAAACCTGAATGCTGATACTTCAGTTTTTTAATGCTACAAATTCGTGAGCTGAGACTTTAAAAGAAGCTGAATATGTTATTTAATCAAATCTAAACTTACTGCCCAAAACTACTCAACATATGCTGATTAGAACAAGTTTTTAAAAACTCTATGTACTTCATCTAGGTTGTTTTGATCACCAAGTCAGAAAATTGAAGTCATAGCCTAACAAAGCAGTAATGACAATTAACATTGAAAAGAGGATTTCAATGAAAAGAAAATTCCAGGACAGCAAAGGGCAGGATCTCCTATCTCCAACTTCAATCTTTTGAGCAATAACACATTATTGCTACTGCTTTTATATTAGATCAATCAATGATAATATAACAAGTAATGTTACTCTTTGACTGAAAGGGGTATGGAAAGCTCTCTAACTCCAGTCAGTTCTTTTGCCAAAGAATGAGCCAACACATACATCGACCTATTTATCTGTTTAAGGATCTTGTCTGAGAAAAAAAATAATTCTAGCAATTTATATTAGAAAAACATAAAAATTAAACCTGATGAATTTGCCTGTCCTGGGAAAGGATAATTTGACTTGATGAGTTGGTCAGTCTTAAGAATTCAACAGAAATGCAGTTTTATTACTTTCAAACACACAATATTTACCACTGCTAGAACTAGCTATGTATTGTAGAATCATTTCCTATCACAATACTTGCATGCAAATAGATTAATAAAATGATCTGGGGGATGCTTAAAAACTTTGATGTTAGTGAAAAGAAACATACTTATGTTGTCAGTTTGCTTCAGAAATGTTTTTCTTCATAGTAAACAATACTCAGACCAGCATGTCAAAAAGAAAAAAAAATAAAACAGGAGATTCATATCAATGACTTTTTACTGTATTTCTATAGAGCACATTCATGAAGCATCTTGATAACCCATTTCTTCGTAGTTATTAAATTAATGAAAAGTCACTCCCCAAATAACACATTTCATTGTCAAGCATTCTGAATACAAAATGTCAGTTTTGTAATGTTCTAAGGTAAAAAAAAAAAAAGGCACCTCAAGATGTATCTCCATTAATATATCTCAAGATGTATTAAAATCTACTTGGCCAGGGGTGCCTGAGTGGCTCAGTCGTTAAGCGTCTGCCTTCGGCTCAGGTCATGATCCCAGGGTTCTGGGATCGAGCCCCGCATCAGGTTCCTTGCTCGGCAAGGAGCCTGCTTCTCCCTCTCCCATTCCCCCTACTTGTGTTCCCTCTCTAGCTGTCTCTCTCTCTGTCAAATAAATAAAAAAAAAATCTTTAAAATCTACTTGGCCAATTTATGGAGATTATACATGCAAATAAATATATGTATAAACAATAAATTTATAGAACTTTATCAATCACAGATACAAAAGAATACTTGTAAAAACTCAGCAAAAGACCTAGTTTTTGCAAAGGACTTTCAGACCAACACCCGTACTTCATTTATTTCTACTTTTTTCCCTCTTGGTATTACCCAATATTTCTTTCCAAAACACATATTGGGAATCAAGTATTGTAGGCAACAATATTTTCCAAAGTAATTTCCTTATATCTAACTGTCTCTTCCTTTTTTTTTTTGATTAAAGATTTTATTTATTATTTGAGAGAGAGAGCACATCAGAGGGGAAGGGTCAGAGGGCGAAGCAGACTCCTTGCCAAGCAGAGAGGCTGATGCGGGACTCGATCCAGGGACTCCAGGATCATGACCTGAGCCGAAGGCAGCCGCTTAACCAACTGAGCCACCCAGGCACCCTGTCCCTTCTCGTTCTGCATTAGTAAAGTAGAAAAGTGAACCATGTCAGGATACAGTTCTCTGAAATACCCCCAGTCATCAGTACCTCAATGTTGAGTACCTCTGTTTTTTCATCATTAAAATAGAAACTTGAAAGGATTTATCTTTTTAACTTACTTTGCTCTTTTAAATCAAAGAAAATAATTACATAAAGGTAACATTAGAAAGAAACCATCCTTCCTCTTCATTTTATTTAGAAAGAAGTTTACTAAAGTTGGTCTTTACTTACACACCCCAAAACTTTATTTGGAATTCAGATTTAGATCAAATCCTAACTAAACCCATCACTGAATTACATTAAATACAATGGATAAGTCATTGTTGAGTTAATTTTCTTTAAAGGAATAACTAATATTCTCTTACCTTTTAGGCCTCATGAGCATGTTAAGTAAAACTACTGAGAGCAGTAGACAACCAAACACCTATCAGTGAAATTCTTTCCATAAAAGACTTTGCCCAGTCTACTGAGAGAATGAGGGTCAATTGCTTTCTTCTACTGCAATTCTGAACATCCACCTCTAGAGGTCCCAATCACATCACCTTCTAATATGGTATGTCATGCATTAAACACATTTTTTAATGTTTGCATAACTATTCCTTAGAAAATTTTTAAAATTAATAAATCCTATGTCTTTTTAGGTTGGGATGCAACATATGAAATATATTTTGCTTCTAAATGCCAAAAACTACATTTAGATTGCTAGAGGTTAACAATATGTTATCATATAGTAATATAAGCTACCGTATTTTCAAGGGATATGGAAGTTTTTGTTGAAAACCTCATTATCTTCAAAGTTGCTAAGATCCCAATATCCATTGTCAGGGGATAGTTAATAATAACAACTACACTGATGGGATATGTAGCACAGGGTCAAAGACCAAAAAAGATTCTATACTTCTGATAAACCAGAAACTCAACCTTTAGTATCTCCTAATGACAGGGTTGAAAGGATTCCTACAAATATTTTTGTAGGATTTAACCCAGTATTTGTCTACTTCTACTTTTTTTTTTTTTTAAGATTTTATTTATTTATTTGACAGAGAGAGACACAGCGAGAGAGGGAATACAAGCAGGGGGAATGGGAGAGGGAGAAGCAGGCTTCCCGCGGAGCAGGGAGCCCGATGCGGGGCTCGATCCCAGGACCCTGGGATCATGACCTGAGCCGAAGGCAGACGCTTAATGATTGAGCCACCCAGGCGCCCCTACTTCTACTCTTTTTATCCTAGAAATCTAGTATGTTCACCTGATTCCACAACCACCGAACAAGAGAATGAATGATGGTTAGTCTAAAGGTTAATGCTAATGAACTATAAGTTGCACTGCAATTCACTTTGAACAGAAGAAATATAAGTGAAATACCAGTAATAACAGTAAATTTTAAATACTAGTAAATACTAGTTTTTAAAAAAATGTCCAACCACCATGGTACCCAATGTATTTTGTCATATAGCTATAAGACTGAGACAACATACATCAATTAACTTAACCATTAACAACAAATCACCATTACTCTTAATTTTGGATTATACATGTGTGTATATACACACACATACCCACTCCAATACCACATCATTCAGAGACAGGCTCTTCTCTAAGTTCTCATACTTTACTGTGCCTCGGAATCCCCTGAAGGCCTTTGTTAAAGCAGACTGCTGGGTTTCCACCCCAGAGTTCCTGGTTAAGTCTACAGAGAGACCCAAGAATCTGCATTTCTAACAAATTTCCGGGTGATGCTGATGTTACTGGCTCAGGGACCACATTTTAGGAACCTCTACTGTAAGTGATCTGTGAGTCTCAAAAGGCAACTGCAGAGAGAGAGAGAGGGAGAAAGAGAGGGAGATAATTATATAAAAGGTGACACTAGTTATTAATGAAAAGAGAGGGAGCGAGCGAGCGGGCAAGAGTACACTCTCAAGAGAGAATGAGAAAAAGACATGCAGTTCTGGCAAAGGAGGCAGGAGATAAAAGTGAATACAGATATTTTCTTCCAACCTGATACTTTCCCTTTATCTTGCTGGTTAGAAAAAACTAAGAAATCATGGGGCACCTGGGTGGCTCAGTTGGTTGAGCCAGGGTCTTGGGATCAAGCACTGCATCAGGCTCTCTGCTCGGCTGGGAGTCTTGCTTCTCCCTCTCACTCTCTGCTCTCTTTCTCCCAAATGAATAAACAAAACCTTAAAAAAAAAAAAAACAAACTAAGAAATCAACAAAGACTTCTCAAATGACAATTAACTGACATACAAACCTTTTCACGCTTAAAAGGCTAGACAGATTGTTCCCATTACAAGTTTTACTAAAACAGTATTGCCAGGAACTCTTCAGCCTTACAATACCCCTAGATGGGACTACTTTCAGGAAGACACTGAAGGGGCACAGAAGTTAGCTAATGAGTTTTCCATATTAAAAAAAAAAAAAAAAAAATGAACACTCACCAGTAAAACATGGGTGAACAATGATAATCAACAAACAACTACAACATGCAGAAAATCTACACTTAGAAACACTGTGTTTGGAATTTGTCAAGTATTAAAATTTTATTTAAATGAAAGTTTTTCCTTTTAAGTTACTGAGCCACATAAAGGGAAAATATTAATTTTATTAGAATTTGAACAAATGTCGCACACAGAAAACATTTTAACAAAATTGTATGGTGGCATAACAAACAAAAAACAGCCAAAGATATGTAAAAGAAATATAAGGTGGAAAACTGTTAAATATCTGATCCAGTGTAAAAACAAGAAGTCTAAACTTAAAAACCAAACAAGCACAACCATAAAACAAAAAGTTAATGTTTGTGCTATCCTAACCAGACACATTCTTCAGCAAAACTTTAAAAGGCAGTTATATTTTACAGTATTCAATCTTATTTCTAACTTTTTCAGAAATAGACTATTTATATAATTCAACCTCACAGTTGAAAGTTTAAGCACTGAGAAATAACTATTCTACTAACTGAAATGACAGGTGAGGCAAAACAACTGATTAGTCTTTAATGCTGTATTTTCAACTGTAATAAGGGCCTGATCCAACCAAAAGAAGCCGGAAGCAGTTCAGAGTTCTTTTCTAATGCCCAAGGAACATCTCTGCCCAGTCCGACTGCCATAGTATTGTTACCCTAGAAACAACAGAGCACTCTCAGGGACCAATGTAGGAAGAGAAGACACAATAGAAGTTTGATATTTTATAGCAAAATAACTTGTCACCACTTCAGACTACCAAATACCAGAAGTTACTTAAAACAAATTATTTAGGTATTCCCCATCTTTGCAACTTATTTCTAAATACTGATATATTCATTTTTTTAATTGACCACATCAGGTTAATAATAGTGTAAATCAATTTGAAAACTACAACTAAATACTTCAAGAATAGGACTTTGCATATTTTTCTCTTATACCTTGATCTTTACACAAAGATACAATTCTTACTATATTGGTAGAGAAGTCTATGGGAAATAAACCTGGAAATGTTTTAAGGAGATTGTCAACCAAGACAGGCTTCTCCATTTCATGATTGTCATCTTACAAAGATACCAAATTTCACATTGTTAAATATCTTAAAACAATATAGTTGTGATTTTTATAAACATACAAAGGCAAAAATTCTAAAGGCTTAGGAAAGAAAGTTAAGCCCTTTGCATTCCGAATATTTGAAATTTATTCACACAATATGCCCAATCTGAACTTTAAATGAGGTATATTTTCTTCTTTCCAAATATCAAAAGCCTAGCAAATATATCATACCATGAACAGTATCAAATTAAAATAAATTCACAGGCTTTTTGTTGGTTTTCATTTTAACCTGTCATAAAACACGCTGCCGTGAGTCTTTGGATGTGGTGTCTAAGAAAAAAGGAAGTTGCACATGGTCACTCTCTGTATGAGAGTTGCAAATACATAAGGTGAAAACACTTTTGTGGGTATTTTTAAAACATGATAAATGCATTACCAAACACTAGTCATGATTTTAAATATTATGTAAATATACAGTAAAGATCATCTGTGTATCCATGATCGTATAAGGGGAGCACTAGAAAATAAAAATCTTATAATGATCTTATGGCAGTCCTTAAGCAATTGAATGTCTTTATCTGAAAAACCTATGCTGCAAAAATTTGAATCAAAGTTTTGCTTTCTGAATGCATGGGCTATAACCCACAGAAAACATGAGGGACAAACTGTTTGGTCAGGATCTTGTTAAACTAAGAAACAAAAAATGTAAAAACCAAAAAATATGCACACCATTAAAAATACTAATTCTGAAAATTATGCAGCTAAAAATTAAATCACCCTGTCCAGCAAGTTCCAAAAATTTCACACATTTCAAACATTAAGGCAACTTTTTTCCAACTAAACAGTACTTTATAAAAATATATGTCACTTCAAAACATTATATACATAGTGGCAATAAATTTAGCTAGTTGTAATCTTTAATACATTAATAAAGTATCACATATTACAAAGAAATTATACTAGGTGTCTGCATGTATGCGCAAGTGGAGTGACAGTTTTTAAAGTACAGGTTTTAAAACTGAGCGAAGTGAACGTCCCTCTTTAGTGAGTTCTCGTGTCACGCACATACATGGTAACGGGATTGCTTCCTCCCGTTTCTCTACAATATTGTAACTGCATTTCTTCAAGTGGTCAGCCATGCTTAGGATGTCAGCAAATTTCCATTCATTAACAGAACAAAATGCAGTACTGAATCGCCACACCTAAAAGAAAATTCTATTTCAGATTTAAACAAGTCAATTTATAAGAATCAAAATACACTTCTTATTCCAACTGCAAACATTTCTACTGTTGGAGAAATATCCAATATAAAGTCCCAAGCAGTTAGCTACAAAACTGAAAAGGAGTAAATCCATTTGGAGGCAGATCTGTTTATTAAATACTTGTAGGAAAAATCACTTCTATGACATTTGAACTTCATTTGGTTACTGCATTTGCAGTAACCAAAAAGAAATAAAAAGCAAAATTCAACATTAAAAACTACATCCAACTTGGCTTATTAAGCAATTTTTTAGAAGATTTTATTTGAGAGAGAGAGAGAGAGTACGCGAGAGTGGAGGGAGGGGGAAAGGGAGAGAGAGAATCTCAAGCAGACTTCCCAGCTGAGCACGCAGAGCCAAAGTCAGACGCTTAACCTACTGAGCCACCCAGGCACCCCTAAGCAATTTTTTAATCATAACCTCGTAAATTCAGAGGTACTTCCTAAAATAATATATTGCACACTCTTCTTTCATCTTATCCAATTGGCCATATAGAGCTATTCAGAGTCTGGAGATAGTGATGATACATGTGTTATTTTTTTCCCCAAGTTTTTCTTCCATTCCTATTACACTATATGAGGTATACTAAAAAATACACTAATATGTGGTGCCTGAGTGGTTCAGTCGGTTAAACAACTGCCTTCGGCTCAGGTCATGATCCCAGGGTCCTGGGATCAAGCCCTGCATTGGGATTCCTGCCCAGCACAGTCTGTTTCTGCTTCTCCCTCTCCTTTTGCTCCTCCCCCTATTCACGCTCCCCCCCCCCCACTCTCTCTCTCTCATAAATAAATAAATAAAATCTTTAAAAAAATACACTAATATTTGCCAAGGTACCTTATGATTCCACTATTTGTAAGTACCAAAGGTAACTCTGTAATATGCATGAATACAGGTACTTAATTTATTCAAAATGTTTCTGAAAATTTACATAAAACACTTTTGTTAAATGAATCTTACTTTATTCCAAATCATTGTAAAATGCATTTCTAGGCAAAAATTCACCTGCTATCCCTATTCATGCATCTGTTGGTAAAAATATGAGCTACTTCCCCTTTTACCCACTCAGCAGCTCCAAGCCCTGAAACAATGTCATCTTATTAGCTCAGCAAGGACAGTTGTGGCCCCTTCTCACCTTCACAATTCTAAATATAAAGCTACCTGAACACAGGAAATAAGCACGAATGGAGGACAGACCCAGGTAACAAGCAAGAATGGGCTAGATCAGGCCTAGGCATCCTAGCTAAGCTCATCAACAGGAAAATGGTAGAGCACTCTGAATGCATAGTAAACAGCAGATACTCTAGAAAGTGGCTGTGGATTGGAGGAGAGCCCTCAGCACTCATTAGAGCTTCTCAGGAAAGGAGGGCGATGCCTTCCAAGGTGGCTAAATGCCTTCAAATTCCCTGAGAACACTTTTACTTTTCAGCTGGCAAGAGAAATCACCACTGCTCAGCACAAAGGGTACTTACTCCCTATATTCCTTAGGGTTGTATCAATTACGCCTCCTGGGGAGTTCTTTCCCAGGAGTCCCTGAAGGTCTAGAGTAGCTACCAACAGACACTACAGATATCACTAGCCTCCCTTACAATTACCTATACCTATAAAACTACAGAAGAATTAGGAATTTTGTTAAGCCTCAGCAAAACAAATTCATGAAAGACTCAATGGTGGCAGACAGCCTCCCCATTTCCACAAGAGTCTGGTGAAACAAACTCAGAAAAAAATGGATGATTCCCATCTCCTGCACAAGGCTTCTTAGCAATGGGCCAATTTTTCATTCAGAAGTCTTCCTCAAGTCCTTACTTAGTGCCCACGATATGGCAGTGCTGTTCTAGGCGGTGGATGTTTTGGTTCCCAGAGAGTCTCACTTTTCAAGGAACTGACAGTCTAATGAAACTGGCAATTCATCAGTGAATTACAATACAGCATGAGAGTGCTCTAGAGTAGGGGTATACAGAGTAGGGGACTATTATGGGGCACCACACGAACACAGAGCAGTACACCTCCCTGAAAGCTTCAGGGAGGGGTTCCAGAGGCTCTCCTGAAGAAGATCTGAAGAGTGAGCAGGATATATAGCAAAAAGATGAAGATCACATGCTCCAGAGACAGGTTCCCTAGGTGTGAATCCATCAGTTAGTTGGACAAGTTACTTCACCTCTCTAAACTTCAGTTTCTTCATCCATAAAATAGAGATAGTAGATTAAATAGGTAAACAGAAGTAAAATGCTTATTAGCACACTGTCTAGCATATTGCAAATGCTGAGATGCAGGTACTGTATTAGGGACAGCACATTTGAAGGCCTTAAGGCAAGAAGTCAAGAAAGAAAACATCAGGAAACTGTAAGCAAATCAACATAGCTGGAATATAAAATGACAAGAGGAAACTGAGGAGGTAAGTAAGGACAAGATTATAAAAAGTCTTAAATGATTCTTTAAGGAGTCTTTCTGTGTCCCAGAGCAATGAACAAGCATTACAGTTTTTAAACACTACAATGTAAGAACTGTATTTAAGAAAATATTTATCACTCCAGTCCTTACGTAGAGAGTATGTTGGAGAGGGACCCAATTAGGAACAGAAACCCAGTTACGCTCTTAGGTAACCGAGAGAGAGCTGAAGGGGACAGAGCTAGGTAAATGGTGGTGGAAACAGTAAAGTAAACCTGAGAGGTATGAAGAAGGGAGACTCAAGAGGACTTTATGATTACCTAGATATGGAAATAAAGGGGAAAAAAAGAAGTCAACCTTAACTCCCAAATTCCTAGTTTAGGCAATTTGATAGATGATAATGCCACTTGCGAGATTTTTTTTAATTAAGCTTTTTCCTAGCTCTTTTTAAGATTTTGTTTACTTATTTGAGAGAGAGAGAGAGAATAAGCAGGGGGGAGGGGCGGGGGGGGAGAGAGAGAGAGAGAGAAGCAGACTCCCCGCTGAGCAGGAAGCCTGACGTACCTGACGCAGGGCTCAATCCCAGCATCCAGAGATCATGACCTGAGCCAAAGGCAAACGCTTAACCGACTGAGCCACCGAGGCACCCCGCCACCTGCTGAGATTAAGAGGGACAGAGGGGCACCTGGGTGGCTCGGTCAGTTGCCCATCCGACTCTTGATTTCGGCTCAGGTCATGATCTCAGGGTGGTGCGACGGAGCTCCACAACATGCTCCGCACTCAGTGCGGAGATTCTCTCTCTCCCTCTGGCCCTCCCCACTGTGCATGCAAGCTCTCTAAAATAATCTTAAAAAAAAAGAGGGATAAAGATGTGGAATGGGTTGGACATGTTGAGTCTGATGAAGCTGTGAGATAATCAAGTGGAGATGCTTACATACAAGGCTCTGGGGTTCAGGAGAAAGCGGCCAGGATACAGATGTGTGAGTACTCTGTGTAAATGATGGCGATTTAAACTCCCAAGAGTAGGTAGGATTTTCTGCAGGAACAGAATCCCCAGAGAATACTTCACCTCATAGGTCAATACTAGTGGGCAAGGACAAAATGAGACGATGCTCAGAGTATCCCATCCCAAATGGAAGAAAGACACCAAGTCCTCTGTATGTGTATACACACATATACACAGCAAGGATGAAACTTTCTGCCACCAAAATTCCCATTTGGAAAAAAAAAAATCATAAAATAAATAGTGTGTTCATTTGTTGGTCAAAGCCTCAGAAGAACACAGAAGATGTAGAATTCTGAAAAACTGGAGCAATGAGTAAAAGTCAGAGAAAACCTAAGGGTGGTAAGAACAAAGTATCCAGAAATTTGAACCCTGTGCAATCAAGGTAAAATTTACCAAATTTTTTCTACTTTATAAAATGCAAAATGTCATATTATAAGTGCTCTAATATGAAAAACTCCTGCAATAAAAGATATTTATGTCTTCTAGTTTCTATTAGATAGTACCTCAAACAGAAGATGGGCAAAACTAGGGGTGCCTGGCTGGCTCAGTCAATACAGCATGCGACTCTTGATCTCAGGGTTTTGAGTTCGAGCCCCATGTTGGGTGTAGAGATTATTTAAAAATATAATAATCATAATCATAATAAAATGTGAAAAAGTAGATTTTCACAAAAGAAAAATGGTGGACCCAAGACTTGCTCCAGGATCTGCCTAAATCTCCAGTTCAAGCCTCCAATATGCAACACTCTCTTGTACTGTACTAACCCAGAGCCCCCCACCAACAATAACAAATCCAAGTACCCTACTCTTTCCTCCCACTTCGACCTAACACATTTCCACATCCATCATGTTTTCTAGCCCCCAAAGACTCCACTGGTCACTTACTAGTAGTAGCAGTTATAACTTTTCTCATTTCTCCCTATTTAAGTTCTACCTAAAATAACTAAGAAAGAAGTTGCTAGGAATGGAGAAAAACTGCCAATTGCAAGCAGCAGAAAACCTTCTCCTTGCTTCCTCCATTGTCCTATGGTGAAAATGTTTCAGATGGAGCTCAAATTGGAAGGTGGTTAACATGGGCTCAAAAGGAGCTGTTACAGAAGAACTGAGTATAGAACGGCTCAACTGAAAAAACAAGTGACCTCAGCCATATTAGATTAGAATTAGGATGTCTGTAATAAATATGTGATTATGACAAATAATTCTAACCTAGTTTTTCATTAGTTATTATTTTTAAAAAGTCTGTCAGATTAAAGTTTAAGTTTTAAGATGGTCAATTTTTCAACAAGATCTTAATTTTATTAATTCTGCAACATTGTCTACTGTATGTCAAATAAGGAGATGATACAGTTAAGATTAAACTAACCTTTTCTTTTATTTGCCATGACGAATTTCCTTCTGGGTACTTCCTTTTTCCCCACTGCAGTATGACCATTCCACGAGACTGAAGCAGGCTGCCACACACATCCCTCATTAACCGGGATACACATGAGAGCTGGCATAAACTGAAGCCATCAAGAAAGCCTGCAATATGTTGCAGGACCTCAAAAGGAAGACTACTTAGATGGTCACTATGCAATCCCAACACACAGTTTCTAGCAGGCTCTACTAATACTGTAGAGACACATGGCTGAACTCCAAAGGACCTCAAATGGCGGTCATGTATAATCTTTGCTCCTTGTGTTGATGGACAAAATCTACGCTGAGAATAGGTACAACCATAATATGCTAAAGGACACCTCTGTTCCATCCAGCCATTGAGTCCAGCATGAATGTCACCATGCACATTCTTAAAATGTGAAGAAAATTCTTTTCTTCTAAATAACTGCCCACAAACAAATGTAAACATTGAACGCTGCTTGGGTTGGTACCTAGCAACACATTCCAATACTAAATCCAGCCCAAGTGTCTGAAAAGGACTTGGATTTGAAAGCTGTGGGTTGGCATGATCACAAGCTGAAGCTGAAGCTATTTCCCCAACCATTGTATTGGTAGCTAATATTGCAGATGGAAGTGAAAAAGTCTGAGTCCCAAAGTCAATGTGATAAACATCAACCATGCGACTATCAGATATACCCCTCCCACCTGGAGAATCTCCTAGACAAAATAGCAATGCTGCTGTGATTAGATCTATTCCTTGGAGGCCCATTGGATCTTCTGCAACTTCCAAATCTGATGTATCTACTGCTTTATCTTCTTTTGGTTTAGACCAACATGAGTTAGAAAGAAATTTGAATGAAGGAGGATGACTGAAAGATAAGACATCCACATTCCTCAAGTCCCCTAAGTCTACTTTTCTCCAACACAATGCTCCTTCATCCTCATCATCTGGCATGAGGATATGCTGAACTGTGCCATTAGGCAAAGCACCAGATGGTATTACTTCCCTAAGTTGTGCTGCTACTGAAAGTGAACCGGAAGGTTGTGAAGTGCCATCTGATGCTATACATTCTCCATTTGTTAAGTTCCTTTGTTTTGAATCACCATGTAATTTCTGATTTGGGTCTATGGCCTGTGTACCTATATTTTCCAAAGAAAAGCCATTACAAAGAGCAGAAGTGCCATAAGAACTGGTGTTCGAGTCACACAATAAATCACTTGAACCATTTTGTTCAGACTGGACATTCAGACTTGTGTCATTATGGTCAATTCCACCTACTGCTCCTATCTCATCCTCATAAAAATGGTCCTGGTCTTTCAAGGGTCTATTCTGCAAGCTTCCTCTGGTGTCTTGCTCTTCATTCATTTCATCTGGGGAAGTGCGAAGACTTGTACTCAACATGCCACTGTCTCTTGTGGCGGTACTCAGGATATCTAAAGCAGCAGCCAGACTTCTGGTTGTTTCTACCGTAGCTTGATAAAGTGCACCATAAGATTCTTCATCAACAGACACCAAACCATTAGCATGTGGTATTTCTGGGACACTTGATTTAATGGAGATCTGTTCTCTAGGTTCTGATACTTTATCAGTCGCTTTTGACATCATGGTGGCTACTTTGAGAGATTCCAAGAGCATCCTTTGGTCTTGAAGGGCCAAGGCCATATCTAATTGTGCCACTTCATCAACATCTCTGCTTAGATTTTCATATGATTTCCGATCTGCATAACTAACTGGCCATCGGTTCCACTCCATAGTACAGCACACCACACTTGCTGGACACATTTCTAGATGTTCAGCAACTTTATTTCGAGCCATTGTAAATGGACAGCCAAAGTCACTATTTAAGCAAGGCACACGTTCAAATGGACATAAAAGTCGATGCTCATCAGCTTTACAAGAATGGAAAACTGCTCCACACACCAACGGACAACCAATCAAGTCACAGGAAATCCCAGGCTCCGGTCTGGTCATACAGCGTCTACTGACACAATTCACACAGTGCGAGTGTGGCAGCTTCTCCTCCATGACGGCCCGTCCGGCTCTAGTTGTGGAGACGGGAAAAGATAACAAGTTAGGCAAAAAGTGGTTGATTTTCAGAAATTGTTGAGTAACAAAAATCAAGTCATAAAGGTGTATGTGTAAAATAAGCATATTTATCAAGTTTATTTTATATATAATCAATTCATCTTGAAACCACTTAAGTACTCATTTCAAGTAACAATGCAAAAGTTCATTTTTACATATCATATAACAAAATGCCTAAGAGGCCAAATGTCTCAAAATATAATGCTTAAATTCTAGTATACTGTGTAGTATATAAAAGGATGCTAAAAACAAATTAATGCATATTTGACTTTTAGATTTCAAAGAAGGCTTTAGCTTTTACATTTTAGTTTCAACTAAACTGGTTCAGAAGCACCCCATAGTACACTGACTTCATCATATTCCTGAGAGAATGACCTGAATTTCATGAATATACTTAACTAAAACTATTAGAACTTTTCTTTTTATTCCCTTCAAATATAGGAGTTCACTTAAGATTTCATCTACTGATCACTCCTTCTACATATGCCTTAATACCTTCTACAACAAATCACCAGAGTAAGCCTTAATTAAAACAAACAGGGAATTTACCCAGAAAATGTAAGTCCAGCTCCAGTTCGTGGCTATGGGCAAGTTACTTACTTCTGAGGGCCACACCTTCCATTCACTCACGCAACACCTATTTATTGTTTAACTACTATGTACCAGGCACTGTGTCTGGTGTGGCAATATAAAGATTAGTAACTCCTCTCAAGGAGCTAGAGCAGGAGGTCAGAGAGACAACAGTAAAACTCACGTCACATTATTATGTGATCAATCTGACAGAAGTAAAATGGTAACACAGAGAAGATAATTTTCACTATGGGTAGGGGCTAGAGAAGAAGTCACAGTAGTCTTCAAAGATGGGAAATCTTAAGCATAGGAGGGGAGAATTGGAAAGGGAGGGAAGTATTCAGCGCTGAAGTATCAACATATGTAAATGGAGAAAAACAAGAAGTGGCAAAACACATTCAGGGAACCTCAAGTTTCCCAGTATTGCTGGATCACAAGGTGAAATGCTAGGTAGCTGTGAGAGATGGGGCAGGATGACAGAAATAAAGCACATCATGAGGACTGTACTATATACTACTCTAAGGAGTCCAGACTTCAGGTAACAGAAATTCACTAAGGATTTGAGCTGAGAAACAGTATCTATAAAATAACAGAAGGGGTTTACAGATACCTAATGGTCTTTCCTTTTATCAAGAAAAATTTTATACAAAAATAGAGAAAGCATCAGCACAATATACTGATTTAATTATAATTATTAATCCTATTCGATGTATCTTTGTCTATAATCATAAACTTCTTTATTGGCTTGTCCCTATGAGCAGTAAAAACTTAAAAAACTATTTCATCTTTAAAAACCTAAATAATAAACAATATCTCCCTTCTACTACTATTCTTTTTTCCTAGTCAAGCTTCCAGAAGAAAAACAAAAAACAATTTAAAAAAAACAACAAAAACCTTTCATACCTCCCATATACTCTTCAGCCCTGTAATCTGGCTTTCTTTTAGCCAACAGTCATTAAAACTGCTCTGAGACCCTTGGTGCTAAAACCAAAGGGCATTTTTTCCAGACCTCATCTTCCTTGGCCATTTACCTCATTATTCTGACTATCCCCTCCTTTTTGAACTATTTGTCTTTCCTCACGAGGATACATTTCCCTGGTTTTCTCCCTACCTTTTTGGTTATTCCTTAATCTCTTTTTCTAAAATATTCCTCTTCTCCAGGGATCATGTCACTTCTTGCTCATTCTATTCATTCTCTCTGGGTGCTCTCAATTTCTCAAAAGCTTCAATTACCACCCATATGCTGAAAACTTACCTCTTGCCCAGATCCTTCTCCCAGACTTCAGATCTCTACAGCCAATTACTTATTATACATCTCTACCTCCATATGGGACAAGCAACTCATCTCAACATCTCCCAAATTAAATTACGTTGTAATAGGTAATACTTTTCTGGGTAAGAAGTCGATTCTTAGCCTATTTTCTTCACTTCACTGCATAAAAGATTACTAGCTCTCTGACATATTTTTCCATAAATGCTATCTGGGTTTCAGGTGGCTAATGTAAACTAATTAATCCTGAAATTGCTATTTATTTTTGTCCAGTCCAGGGTTGATTTTCCTCAAACAATAACAAAAGTCTACCTCATATTGATAGAGCTCTACTGATTAAGTAGAACAGTTCTGAGTTGGTATTATGGCACTTACTGATGCTGGGGGGCAGGGAGGAGGTGGGGAGAACAAGGCATGCATTTAACAACCAAACTGTATTTTTTAATTGTGTTTAAAAATTACAAATACTTCTGAATGTTTATCCCCATACATTTTATAGGTTAAGACAGAACCTAGAAGTTAAACACAGACATGCTAAAAGAGTCATAATAGAAGAAACGACAGACTAAAGATGACAAACATTTGTAAATTATGCTGATGTTCAAAGAGAAATGTTAGTAAGAATTAAGGCAAATGTCCATTAAACAAGCCAAATGGATCCAAGGAATTATTGTTTCATCTAATTCACCTTAAATATTTGCAGCATTGTGTAACAGATTACTGAGTTAGTGAAAATAACACTGGAAGTGGAGCCAAATGATCTCGTTTTAAGACAGTTCCACTGCTTGCTATCTGAATAATTAAAAAACTTACAACCTCAAAAAAAAAAAAAGAATTAAGGCAAATGTCATGGAGTGATTAGATTGTGAAAACAGCTGTAGCTTTCTTATTTTGCAACAACTAGACAGAGTTCATCTCACATGCTGAGGGTTATAAGCTTGACTGTTACTAAGAGAGAACCTAAAAATACAAGCAGTTCCAAAGAAGTGACCACTGCTCTCATAACCTGTAGAACACTCTATGTTATGTGCACATCACATGACCACACCAGGCAGAACACATCTCAAAAACATCACTTAATTCAAAACTGTTTAAAATAGCAACGGCTACAAACAACTAAGTTAAATGCAAAACAGCAACAACTTTGAAAGGAAGACACAGAGGGCTCTCTAGCTTCAAAACAGTTTGTTCCACACTACTCCCCTTGGAATAAGAAAAATGTTTAAAAAATAAAAATAAAAGCATCCACAGCAATGAGGCTACAGTATTTATTTACTGAAGTAGACTTAGAAGGAAAAAAGCACACTAATTATGTACCAATTTTCTCCTTACATATACCATTTCATTTAATGTCCCTTAATCCTCTTAACAACCCAGAGGAAACTGAGGTTCAGACAGGCTTAAGGGACTCGCCCAAGGTCATCTCCCTGGTAAGTGGCAGAGCTAGGACTTCAACCTATATCCAATCAATGCATACGGACAACAACAGATATGTTTACTCATAAAAGTTTAAGAAAATAGGCAGCACTTCAGTAACTGGTGATCCAATTTTAAGATGTTATTTGAGGAATGGAGGTTACACAACTTTGCCTGCAGTTTATTCCAACACTTGATCACCCCTGTGGTCAAGAAAGTCTTTTTGGTCCTTTGTAATTACAATAGCACATAACTTTGCTTTGAATATCAGTGTTTAAAACTATTTTAAAAATAACTTGCATTTATAATAGTACAAACTTACAGACCAAGAATATAAATTTAGCAATTCTCAAAACAGCAAAGTAGGAATCAAGTTTAACTCCATTTTACCAGTAAATATATTACGAAGTAAGTTAAGAAAAAGCACTAGATAATAACCAAAGAGTTTTCTGGGGATAGAATCCTCAGCTTCAGAATTTAAAATTTCCAGATCCATCCTTTTTCTAATCAAGATCATTACCAGATTAAATATGCCTCCATAAGGTATTCTGCAATTGCTCATAAATCCTGTGAAACGGGTTTAAAACATCTGTCCCTGATTTCTCAGTTGAACAGTGACACAGCAGGCCCATTAGAAAACATGTTGTTGAAACTGAGGCTTCAAGTTCGAGATAAGCTTAATTTAAGACTCCTCAATATTAAGTTTTCTTAAACCCTCTGGAAAAAGGATCTTAGCATTCCAAATAACATCTCTATAATTTACACTTAAAGTTGAATGACTGGAAAAAGTCTCATTAGACTAGAAAATATCTGTAAATGATTAAATACTTTACAATAGTTTCAATTTTCTCCAATAGAAATTCTTGGCCAACTCAGACTCTGTGACCGACAGGCAATCCATAAAAATAGTTCTAAGACATGGCATTTTCCCATACAGTGAAAGGAGGCCTTGTCATTTAAAGCTATTTCTATACATAAAAATAACTGCCCTCAAAAAACCATTTCTTTATTTTTCCAGATTCATTAGAATAATTAAGGAGATAAATAAAGCATTGCAAGTTAGCGTGATTTTAAAATATGCTAAGTCAGGTCACCCAAAGCACTCAACACAGCTTGCTGCTGTGTGTACCTCTGTGAGCAGGACACACGCAGACATGCGCAGCACCCCCTCCCCGCAACTGCTGCCTCAAATCTTTAAGTCCCAGCTTAAATGTTACTTTCCACATACCAAAGGCAAGGTCCGGATCCCATATCATGCTGTGTGCTCAATACACATTGCATTTTTCCTTGTAAAACTAGTCACAACTCTAAGTAAATCATTATCCTTTAATATCTGCCCCAACAGGAAAACTATAAGCTCCTTGAAGGAGGCAGGACCATCTCTTGTCTCATCCATTCTTGTGTTTCCTACATTCCAGACTGTGCCTAATTGGAGCTTCACTTATTTTAGAAACATGAATAAATGAAAAGATTATACTGTAAGAAACAGCCAAATGGATTCCAAAACAAAATGAGATTTTTGATTTCACAGAAAACTACATACTTCATGAAAAAATACAACCTTACAGACCTAGTACTATACAATCAGATTGAGTCAAAATTATACCTTATTGTACCAGTTACAAAAAGTCAATAGTGCTCCAACATTTACTGAGTACCTAAGTCATATGTCCCAAGCATTACGTATAGAGTAAGATAAATCATCTATGAAAAAAGCAAGTCAAAGGGAAAAGGAAGTCAAAGAAAGTTAATTTCAACCTTCCATTATTTTAAAATCTTAAAAAATGGTCATAGAAGGCACAGAAGTAAACGTTTACCAGTATATTGTTCCACTATTTTAACTCCCTAATCAACTCTGCACTCTGGTTACTGGTTACTTGAATACAGAAGGCATCAGCTTCAAAAAGAAAAGCAGAGGTAGAGGTAGGTGTACACACATGTGCACGTGCCTAAGTAGGTACTGGGCTAAGAAAAGAAGCTCAAAAAAGGAAGTGGTATCCGCCGACTGCTTAATATTGCAGTTAATATGGTACTAGATGAAGCAGAATTCCACTCAAACAATAAAATGTTGCTTCAGTGTGAGGATGAAATGGAACTATAGACAGACTTGTTCAATTAGTTAACACAAGTAAGTCCATGACTGAAATTTTACATTTAGCAATCAGTTATAAGCTCCTCTAAGCAAGTCTCATCCTTCTTGTACAGTCGGAGGTACTAGTCAGAGTAATACAATTAATTGTACAATTAATATTAAATACAAACACCTTCCTGGCTGATTTGTGATCAAGTGCAATCAGTTTTAAAGACCATAATAAATCTATACTCTCAGTTGGGCATCTTAACTGGTTTAAAAGGGGGGGGTGGAGGGGGTGGTGACTAGGCAAGATTGAAAATCCTCTATCATTAAACTCCCAACTCAAACATATGCCCTCCTGATGAGTCCAAAATGGCTAAATGGATTACACTGTATACATTCTTTTTATTACACTTTAGTTCTGACTTTTTATAGAATGATGACCTAATTAAATGGAAAATGTCAAATTTTTCACCCTTCCAGTTATGATATAATAAAACACATATCTTCTATGTCTAAATACGGTCATGAGTAACTTATTCCACAGTGAAAGTTCTAACTACTTGCAATGTTCTCCACTAAATAAGCAAATGAAATTATTACAGATTTACATCAGAAATTAAAATAATATTAATATTTAATTCTCGGACCAGAACCTGTTTGTGCTGATCCTCAGATAAAAATAATCCACCCAAATGGCGGTACTCAGCTTATTAAAATGAGCAGCATGGCATCGGGGAATGGGCTTCCAAGGAATCTTAGCTTTGTGACCGTAAGGCAATTATTCTACTGTGAAAACAACCTAGAACTCTACAAAGGTGGGTTATAATTATGTGTGTGTCCAGAAGGATACAATGTATTCCTTAGAAAAGGGATGTACTTCACTTAGCAGGACAGCCACGTTTACATACACAAAGCTTTATGTAAAATTATTTTTTATATCAGGTCATTTACACTTATAAAGCTTATAAAAAGCAATTGTATGAGGAAATAACCTATGTTAACATTATCCACTCAAAAAATAAACAAACAAACAGACATACCCTTTCTGTAAAGGATTTTCAGACTGGGTTTTAATTGAGGTATGCTTATCTGTATTTAACTAGCTACCTACATTTCAAAAGCCATTAGCCCAATGCCAATCCCACGTATTTCATCAAACTGAATTTGATATTAGATATTTTATATAGCCTTTTGATTGCAGACTTTGTCAAAGAATTCTACAAATACAATGTCCTTTTAATGAAACAATCATAGGAAATCAGTTAAAAGATGTATCCAAAATTATACAAAATAGCATAGAGCTTATCCCATTAAAAGTCACATTTCAGTAATATAGTACATCAAATAGTAAACACACATTAACCAACACCTATGTGGTGACCTCAAAGTACCTCTCTAACTATATACATTATCTCAAAGTATTACTGCCCTTTAATGGGTATTTTATTAGGACACTTTGTATTCTTTAAAAGTCTTCAATGCTAACAGGCTCCCTGCTCGGCGGGGAGTCTGCTTCTCCCTCTGACCCTCCTCCCTCTCATGCTCTCTGTCTCTCATTCTCTCTCTCTCAAATAAATAAATAAAATCTTTAAAAAAAAAAAAAGTCTTCAATGCTAGAGATGGAGAAATATTGGGTTGAAATTAAATACCCAGCACACTTGGAAGGCATAAAAGTTTGCCTATGTCGGAAACTCCAGTTCTCTGATAACACTCACAAAACTCCACCCACCTACACTTCCAGAATCACACAAAAAAGCTTATGTCACTGCATTAAAGTACTAGATAAGAACGAATTGGCAACTTAAAAGTTACCCAAACACCATGTTATCCCTAATTAAGTTTCTGGAGTAAGAAACGGTGACTAAGCATAAAGAACAGTGATTCAGCCAAAACTGCATATTAAAATTGAACCCTTAGAAAAATCCTAAACATACATTTTATGCTATCCCTTTCCCCTTGCTGCGTCGAAAACTGGAGTGTTTTCTAAAACCTTAATAAATATGAGCAAATGCAAAATCTGTTCCTGTTACTTGTGTCTCTAAAGGATACAACACAGTACTGAAATGCAGCAGAAAGAAAGAAAAAAGGAAAATTTTAAAGGTTCAAAACATTTGAGAAGTTTGTATTTAAAGAGTTTTAAGTTAATCTACACTGATATCAGAATGCCCATAAATAGCTTCATCTTGGATCAGAGTCAACAAAGTAATTATGGAATAAAAGGTCAATTCCTTCCCAACCATCTTTTATCTGGGACTTATGACACGGCTCAGAAAGAAAAACAAGAGAGGGGAATGGAGTACAAAAACCATGGTAAACAACATACTGCTCTGCCAGTCTCTCTCTATTCTCCCAAAGACACACGTTAAAAACATACTCGAAGGAGATGACTCTGAATTCAACGTGCACTCTATGGCCCCCTTCCAAGCAGTGTTCCACGGGACAGGATACAAATAACTTGGAAATAGTCATACCCCTCAGATCTAGAAAATCAGGAAGTTTCTCTTTAATAAGGACTGCGGCTAAGACGAAGATCCGCTCACTACCATGAATGGAAAAGTTACCAACTTCACTCATCCCGTAGAGACAGCAGATGATGCCTCCCAATTTTACTTTAACCCGTCTGTCCCCAAACAACCCAAGTTTTTAACAGGCAAAAGGAAACAGAAGCCGCGTTTTCAAGGTTCTTAGGGCTTCCCAAGTTTACCTCCCGCTTCACCCCTCCCTCCCCTGCATACAGACAGACAACCAGGCCAGGTGACACGGGGGTCGGTCCCCGGCTCTGGGTC